ATACTGAACCCTCTCGGATTATATGTAGAAATGTTATTAAAAACTCTATGAAACTCTCAGAAATCAGGTATGTCCTAATATGTTACCCTGAAGTGATGTGTGTCACAGAAATAACTGAACCTCCTTGTCAACTGCATGGTCATGAACTCTAATCAGATCTCTAACCACGGCCACTTTTAAGTCTTTTTGTTGTTTCCAGTTATACTCAGATGCTTTCACAAGCCCTCCTTCAAATGTGTTTCATCTGCACTGAGACTCATGGAAAGAAATCAGAGTACAGGTTTCTGGTAATAAGATCATGCAACTGAACTCAGTAAGAATTAGTTTAAGCACAACAAGAACATGGGACTGAATGAGTTGAAGATGATTACAATTTTTATGACTTTCTTTTGTTGAAACATTGTTTTTCCAGATTTAAAGAAATTAAGGTAATTGTAACTTACAGCAATTTGATAAAATATACCTTGGTGAATAAAACATTTATCTTCTACCTGATCCCTTCAGAACTCAAAAACTCCCAGTATTTTTTTTTTTTCTTAATATATTCACTTGTGTGACTTTAATAAGAGTAACGGAACACAACTGGAAACACTGGTTATATTACTGGGGTTTTGACTGGAATACCTAGTTGAGGGAGACCTGCATAAACTCAGGTATTACCAGAGAGCTTAAGGAACTAAGGTTGACTATATGGAACCAACGAAGCCCTCTGAAAAAATAGCCTAATATCTTGCTGACAGAGTTCCCAGCAGACTTACCATGTGAAGAGGGAAGATCACTTCCTGGCAGATGCAAGAAACTTGGGATACTTTTGGGACCTTGAGAAAGAATGAATCCAAATCTCTAGGTGCGACAGTTGAAGTCTGTGGCAAGTATCTGACTCAGCTGCCAACCTTGAAAGACTGTCAAGTTCAGTCTGGAGAGGCCTTATAAAAAGAGCCTATGAGATCAATCACAATTCTTGCTGCACTTAAATGAAGTTTTAAAAAACAAGGCTTCTTTCGCAAACCAATTAGTCTCAGCTGGGCTATATTTGGTAAAAATGAGTGTGATTATAAAGAGAAAAACTGTTTCAATAACATACCTTTGTGAACACTATTTCCAAATATGGTTCATTATAAACTGGACAAGATCCTGATTTCTTCTGGTTTTCTCCAGGGCCTGGCTACAGCTCCCCCAACTAACATTTTTGGGTTTGTTTTTTTTCCCCATCCTTTTTATTTGGAATAACTTGATAACCAAAAACTTCCCTTTCTCCTGAAGCCCTGCAAACTGCACATAAACAACTTAAACATCAGAGAAATCACAACAGCTCATATGTAGACGATCTCCATGCCCACTGCTCGATGGGCTACTCTAAAAGATTGCCATAAAACTCAATTTACAAACCCAGAAAATACATCAGATTGCCACTGCCTGTCATCCAGAAATCCACTTGACTGGCTACACTCTGAAACTGGTTTCTAATTTGATCCAATCATGAACCACTGCTTTTGTTTCTACAGAAATGGCTTATTCATTCCTGATTTGAACCATTGGACGGAGAATACATCACCGACTCCTGAAATGAGTTTAACTACCTCCCATCAGAACCCAGACTTGTTCACTGACATGGAACAATCTGTCAACTTTTAATGTGTGAGACTTCCACGGAAGTTTCAGAGGAGGGAACTGCAGGGGCCCCGGGCAGGCCATCCATAGTGCCCCACAATGGCATACTCAGGATTTTGAATTGAAACCATGTGGGAAACAACAGGTACAAGGACACTCAGACACTCCTCTGTGAAAGGTACCCTCCCCACACTAAGAAAACAGGGAAAAAAAAAAAACCACCACCTTTATTTAAAGCCAAGGAAGATGTAGAAACAAACCTGGTTATATTTTTACTAATCTACTACCAAAGCCCAAATTCCTTACTAAAGCTCCCAAACATCCATTTTCTGTCAATTCCTGACAGGTTTACAGTCTAAAATGTGTATTTTAAAAAATGCCTGCTTTGGTCTTTTGTTTAGGTTTCGGTTTCATTATCGGGACTCCAGGTGCACAAAATAAAACTGATTTTTTCTCCTGTTAATCTGTCTCATGGAAATTTAACTCCTAATCCAACTGGAAGAAACTTGGACAGGAAAATTTCTTCCTCCCCTTCACTCTGACCCGCCAATTGGTCCTCCAGCCCAACAGCTAATTCACTGGCTTGGATTAATTGCTGAGGTTTTCCACCTTCCCTCTCCCTAGGCATCTGGCAGTGCTGAGTAAACTGAGCTCAAGATGGGATGGAAGGAGGAAACAAGAACGTTATTTTCCAACTACAGCAGTCAGGGTGGTTAAGATTTTCAGCCCCAGTTTCAGGTAATAAGATATATAAACATTTTACATTCACCCTCATGTTCATACTTATGGGCCAGATCTTAACATGCCAAGTATCAATACTTACAACAATGTCTAACAAAATACGTGCTACACAGATATAAATACCTTGTAAAAACCCACAAAAACATCTGAGAGGCCCCAGAGAATAGAGGCATAAACAGATACAAGATTACAGGTGTGGGAAACTATACAAACTTTCAGTGGAGAAGTACACAAGTGAACAGAAAGTGCGGTGAGGACACTGGAGGTGGGGCTCAGGAGGGAAACAAAATAAGGCAGAAGGGGGGACGGGTGCTCGAGAAGTGATCTCAAGTTATTAGAATGCTTTAAAAATGTCAGGTAATCTTTCCAGAAGAACAGATTGTGTCTAAATACTTTAAAACTTGATAGACAGTTACCAAGTACATTAATGATTGTTTTAGATGGAAAGGAAAATTAAAAGATCAAGAAAAAAGTCAAAAAATGAAAAAGCATTTATAATGAGAGGACAGAATTGTGGTAAAGGTTATGTAGGTATTACATTAATATAACTAAAATATCCACCACTTTCTCCTATTTATCTATGGCACTGGTCCAGCTGTTAAGTGGGTACACAGGTATGTGTACACATGTACACACACACACACAGTATACTTTCTGGCTAGTGTCATCTGCTATCTGATCTTTGCTCTAAGGGTAGAGTTTTGGCTATCTTAAACACCAATCTCTTTTGTAAACAAACTCTATTTCTGAGGTACACAGTTACATAGTTTTGACCCAGAGAAAGAGAAAAAGCATTTTAATAGACATTTCTCCTTCTGTTGCATGGGTCTGGTCCTTTACAAAATGGTTTATTTGCCTATTTCATTAAAGCTGAAATTAGTTTCAACCTGGATTGAAAAAGCAGTTATCCTCTGGAAATAAATGGTCCAAAAACAAGTTGTTAATGAAAGTTCTAGTGTCCATTAGACCTATTTTCTTACATCTGGCCACTAGAGCGAAAATCAACTCACAGAGCATTTCAGACATTCTGTTCTTACACACGTTCATTTTTTGCTTAAGTGCCATAATCTGTCCATATATAACCTCTTGTTAGTAAAACCAGCAGAGGTGTTCAGACTGAGGAACGTGTACTTTCTAAAAGCCAGAATCTAAAATCTAATAGACTCAGTTAAATGCTGTCTGTGTGCACCAACACATTTCAATTACTAAAAATTTTCATCAACATAAAAAGGATGACACTGAGTTAGGACAGCCTGTTAAGACTCCAGATAGACAGCAATCCAACAGCCCCTAGGGACACGTTCTTCTATTAAGTGATTTAAAAAAAAAATAGCTTTTGTTTTTAAGAGGATATTTAACACATGCTACTTATAGCACCATCAGTCTGAAGAACTCTACATATTTCAAGGAAAATGCCTTTTGATTCCATGAGTGGGTTCACGCCAAATTCAGCATCTTTTAGGGCAGACCAGTGATCAGCACTGGAAAGCTGTCCACGCCTAGAGCAACAAATGAGTCTGAAAAGCCGTGATTGACATGCAGAGGACAATGAGGCGGCTTAAGTTACTCCCCCAGAGCGACCCAAAGGCTCTGGGACTTATCTCAGACCCCATTAGAGACCAGCTGTAGGCAGGCGGCGGCAGACACCTGCCACACCACAGGTGAGCCAAGCAGATCTGCAGAACCACACCGCAATTTAAGACAGTCCGTGCCCAAAAGCAAAAGGAAGGTCTCTGTGCGCAGAAGAGGCAGGTACTCCTGTGAGGGTTAATGATGGGGCGGGGCGGGGGGCGCTGAGTGAAAAATGAGGCAATAAAAGAACAGACTTTCATGTTCTTTTCTCCTCCAATATCATCGCAGAAACTACACACACACACACACACACACACACACACACACACACACCCCTACACACACTATACTGATACTGTTCCTTGTTCTCAAAATTACCCCAGCAAGGAAAGACCACACCTCCGAAATGATTAGCCAAAAGGGGCATCATATTTCCACACAGAGCAAAACACATTACCTCCCAACCACCTGTAAACTCTCATCAAGAACACTAAGATACCTCATAGGAAAGAAGGGGAAAAAAAAAAACCACCTTCATTTTCATCGCGACTGGACCTGATTTATACACCACACCCCCCATGTACTAGTCTCCTCCTTAGCCTGACTGACCATGACTCTGTCAGCCTGACAGGCAGAGCTCAATCTCTCTGGTTTTAAGCAGCCTTCCCAGCAGGAAAGGCACCCACTGGCACCAGCCCGGAGCTGTGGCCCCCTGGGGGCCGCCGAGGGCCAGCCACTCCCAGCACCATCTCCACTCGGAGCCACAGGGCTTCATGCCAGGAAACGTCTCTCCCAAGTCTACACAACCTTTCTTATTAACTGTGCCTCAGACAGACGCTGAAGGTCTGTTCTAAGCAGAGAAAGCAACAGACTTTTGCATAGGAAAAAAGGGGAAAAAAAAAAAAAAAAAGGCAAGATGTGGGAAAGGATTCCCACCAGCCCTGCTCCAGTGTGACAAGGGCTCGGCTCACAGGGACAACTGCTTCTTTTCCAGTCCCAGTGTCACCGGTGTCTCAGCTGTTTCCTGATGATGATGCATCTGACTGAGGGCTGCAGGGGCTGGGGCGGGGGGTGACGGAAAAAAGGGATGAGGCCACAGGATGATAATGACTGTGCGGCAGAGAATCATGAGAATGGCAACAAGAGACCACCACCGAACACGGATATAAAACTACTAGCTGTGGGGACTCGGAACTCAATAAACAAGTAACAGTACTAAATATTTTGGTAAACAAGTAACAAACGCGCTGGCTGTTCAAGAGCAGCGAACTGTTCTTGTTTCTACTTCATGGCTGAGGGGTTTCCATTTGGAGTCCACAGACACTGTCTACAGCCTTAAGAAATCCGAGAAGTCCCTCCTTCTGAGGATTCTCTGGTACATGGTTGGTTCAACACTTCAGCGCTGACGAACGTGGAAGGGCGGCCAGCCCCTCACCAGACCCTAGCACATCACGACCCTGGTGTCTGCTCCGGGCAGGCCTCAGTTCTTCTTGTCCTTCTGAAACTGGCTTTTTGTGGTCCCTAGGTTGTTCCACACTTCTGTGTACATTAGGGTGCCAATGAAGACAAACGAGGTACCCAGCCAGTGCCACAGAGTGAAAGGGTTCTGGAAGTACAAGATGGAAAAGATGAGGCTGACGAACTTGCGTAGGGTCACGACAAGGGTGACGGTGAGGGAGGCGCACTCCGTGGTGAGAATGAAGACGCCCCGGATGCACACGTACCTGGGGGAGGTGGGGTTAAGGTGGTTTCGGCAGACTATAGAGAGAACACCAGGGAGAACATTCTGGCATCGCTCTTGGTTTAAATGCTCATATTCTAAGAACCAGAAGACATGGGTGGGTTATGGCTGCTCGGAGGCTCTTCCTCAGTAGAACATCTTACTGACTGAATGTCCTACCACCCATCTGCGGATCCTCCCCTGAAGCTGCCTGCAGACCGCCCACTGTTCTCGCTCTGAGTTCCTCACACGGTGTACGGTGACGGTCCCCTCCCAAGTAGTGACAGAAGGTAGGTAACACTTTCAATAAATGTCAGCAAACCTACTTAATATAAGGACCCGGGCTCCACCTCTTTGTCCAAAGAGGAATTCTGCCAACCAATCTACTAGGTGACGTCAGAGGAGTGAGACCAATCTCGCCCTCTTTCGTGGTTTCAGACCCTTCATGATTTTATAACCTACTTCAGGTTGTTCAAAGGAACCATTTAAAAAATTAGGTTTAGTTAGTTTGAAATTTCTTACAGAATTTTGTGGCAGCCTGAGACATATCCTAGGCCACTGAACAACTCCAGCAGAAATCACAGAGCATTCACGTCCTATACTATTACTTGGTGATCCATTGATTTCTACACCTCCCCCCAGAGCAGTCTTTATGGTGCCCAGTGACTTACCGACCTGCTGCAGCACTAACCTCTGGCCCCCCATGAAGGCACTAACTGGATGGGCAGCTCTGTCTCCGGTAGTACAGAATAGATCAAGGCAGAGACGGAACTCATGTCATACACCGTTAGAAGAATAAACATTCCTCAGTCAAAAGACCACAGAGCAGACCTCATGGCAGAGGAGTGCAAAGGATACTGAGTGATGACATTCATGAGGAGGTAGAACCACATGATGGGCACTGTCACACCAATGACCGGAACTTGATACAATTCTGCAAAGATGGAGAGGGGAGACGGTCATATTTCTGACAGCTGAATGGAGACCGAACGTAACAGAGACAGCAACACTACTTCCCTCGCAAGCAGAACTGGACTGTACGCCACTTTACTTCCCTTGATTCTAGGCTACATCGGTCTCAAGAGTCATTACATTGGTTTCTTAAATTACTTATTGCAACTGTAAGATAAACTCTTCACCATCCACCTGACTAGGACCCCACTTTACAAAGAAACACTGCGAGGCACAGAGAAGTTACAAATGACATCCCCTTACCTGACGATCGACCCAAGAGTAAAGACAACCCACAAATGCCATTTGGAAATATATCCGATCCTACTAGTAATCGAAGAATTCAAAACTAAACAGGGTTCTACCATTTTAGACTCTATTAAAGCAGCAATTAAAAATGTATAAAACCCTAATCTGGAAAGGCAGTAGTGGAATTGGCAGCCACTCATTTGGTAGTATCTACTGGTGTGTGTGTGTGTGTGTGTGTGTGTGTATGTTTTAAATCCATTTCATAATGCTCACATTAAGGGACCACACAAGTATTGACAGTCATTCTTAGGAATTAATCCTCATTAATTCAAAAGAAGAAAGAAGTTCTCCATTGATGGAGTACTATTTATAATGAGGAAAAACCAAATCAATCTCAATGGCTATGTAAGCCGTAAAGGAACTTTCACTAAATGAGGCGGGACACATTTGATGAAAAAAGAATCATGAAGATTATATACACTTACACAAAAAAGAAGGCAAGTGAAAAAGCAAGTATGAAATGTATCCACACAAGGATGACGACTATGTAAAAATGTATGTAAGCAGTGTCTGGAAAGAAACTGCTAAAATGAAATTAGCTGACGTCTAAGGCTATAGAACTGTAACTTTTCTTCCTTTAAATGCATTCTTATGTTATGAGGCTTGCATAGCAAATATTTGGGAGGAAATAAAATATTCAAGATCAAAGAGACTAAGGACATAGTAATTCTCAAACGATCAGTCTTTAAAAATTCCTAAGGTGTTTGGGGGGTAGAATTAGTCTATGTAACTTAGGAAATTCTAACAGTGACAGTGAGATCTCCTTAGTAAAGGAATGTTACTTTTCTTTTGCAAAACATAAAAATCCATACACACACACACACACACACACACACATAATATAACTGTCTAAACTAGTGGGAAATCCCCATAATGTGTTATTCAACTGTCTCTGAAACACTGAAAAGACAAGTAACATTATTACTGTTTAATAGCTTCAGAGATCCACTGTATCAATTTGCTATGTAAGAGCCAATCAGTAGGACTCAAAATATTTAGGTGGATATTCAATTCTCGTAACAAATTCAAGGATAACAGGTTCATCTGAGATAACCTAAGGCAAGCAAGAGGAAAAAAGAAAACATACTTAACTCAGGGATGATTTTAAAGAAGTTGAAGGCATACTCTAAAAAAGATTTTACGTAAATACCATCCCTGTGACTTTTAGAAGCAGCATTCTAGTAACTAAATCAAAATCAATCCCAAGGAATCTGATAACATTTTTGTATCAATGGTCCATCGCTATGTGCAAACTCTCAAGGGACCTTAAAAATTACTGTGTCAAAAATGGCTATGTGTCAATTACATCTCCAAAAAAAAAAAAAAAAGTCAGAAATGATTAATTCAGAACCTTAAAAACTTTCTGATGGGCACCTGGGTGGCTCAGTGGGTTAAGTCTCTACCTCTGGCTCAGGTCATAATCTCAGGGTCCTGGGATTGAGTCCTGCATTGAGCTCTCTGCTCAGCAGGTAGCCCGCTTCCCCTTCTCTCTCTGCCTACTTGTGATCTTTGTCTGTCAAATAAATACATAAAATCTTTAAAAAAAAAAAACAAAAAACTCTGACACACTACCTTCATTACACACTTTTTGTGGGTGAATGGGACAGACAACACTGCAAACTCCCAACAGAAAGCATTCACAACTTCCTAATGCAGGCTCTGATGGCAAACAAGTTTACGGGGCACATACCGCCACTCCACAAAATACACCTACCATTTTAGATATGAGCAAGAGAAAGCCTTAACATTATACATGTTTATTTGTTCCTGTGTGTTCCTTTGTCTGTATAAACACTACATCATTTAGTCAGTCACATCAGATAGGTAATTCCCTTCAAGTTAATTGGCAATTTATAGCTAGTTGATTAAACAGTCCCTTTAACAAGTAACAGCTAACTTACCCTGTAGACATCTGAACAAATTTTGCTTATTCCTGCTGCTTTATTTCCTACCCTTTACCTTTGAAAAAAGCCCCCTCATGGTTTGTTTCCCTTTGCTCCAAGGGAGCTAGGAGGGTGTGTGTGAGCAGGTCTGCCTTTGCCTTTGCAGCAAAGGGCGGGCCAGAGCAGGCAGAGCTGATGGCTGCCCGGTTTCTCACGGTCCCGCCTCTGCGGGGTGGTACTGCTATTTTTTGGCATTCTCAAAACATCAAACGTTCCACATGCAAACACAAACACACAAATTCCAAAGCAAAATAGAAAATGTGAAGATACTCTATTACATTGTTTGCAAATAACTGAGAAGCATCTGGAAAAGCTTTTGCCACTGCAACGGCTGACGAACAGCACGGTATCCCCAGGAGGTAGAGTGGGGATGGCTCCCCATAGGGCGGTGATTTGGGTAAGATCGTGAAAAAAGCTGCGGTCAAGTCAATGGCGAAACTGAGAAGTGGCCCCAGAACCTGCCAGGTGATTCCACCAGCTAACCCCACACTCACCAGACTTATTGAACAGAACTGCATGGTCATAAATGTCGGAAGCCAGGAAAATGAAGCCAGGAAGCGGAAGGGCATGCTGTGGGAAGAAAGAGTTCGTGTAAATTTACATACAGACGTACTACAGAATACCGCAGGGCAGCTTCACAATGACTCCCAGTTTTGCAAGCTGTCTGACGAGCAGGATCAAGAAAAGCAATTCAGACTCGTTAGGTTAAACGTATCCAGGGCTTCGGACCGCGTGACACTGTCCAGCAGGCTACTGACCCCATGCCGCAGCTCCGGCCCTTACGGCCTGGAGTCAGAGATCATCACACACTGAACAAAAAAATGGAGCCAGCATCCTTCCCTCAGCAAAAGGGAAGCTTAAACTCATAGTCATTCGGCCCGTTACAGGGCAGCTACCCCGTGCCAGGTACTGTTCTAAAACAAAGACGTGACCCAGAGAGCCTGGTCCTTATTTTTTAAATTCCCGGCCACACACTCCAGTCCCAGTTAAATATCTCAGCCTGATTGTCTGCAGCTTCAATACAAAAGCTGGCAGTGACGAACCTCCGAACCCTGAGGCTGGCGGCATCTCTACCGCCCGGGACCTTGAGGGGCTGTGCTGTGGGTGTTCTCTCTACAAGAGAGTGGCTGGAGAAAGAGTACAGTTAGAGGGGGCGGCTCTGGCTTAGCAGTTTCCAAAAAAGCACAGAGAATTAGCTAACGGAACTCTCCATCGAGTACAGAGCGCTCCCCAGAGGGATGCTGTCCCCCTCCTTCCCTCAAATGCTTGTCCGCCTGCCCACGGCCCCCTCTGCATGGGGTTTTTGGAACTTATTTTCCTGTTCCAAGTCTCCATAGTGGTTTCACTCGATTTCATCTATAGGAACATTGCGGGGGAATGAAGGTCCCAATCCGCAGACGCTGTTCCTGGTTTACGGGACATGGTAGGATCACACGGACCGATCATGAGCGGCTCATGCAGAGAACAGTGGCTCAGAATACACACTCGTAGCCTATTAAAAATATGTGGTCCTTCAACTACACCAGAAAAACGCATATTTCGTTTGAAATAACAGAGTACAGCTGAGTACTTTTTAATCTATCTCAGGCTCAAGAAATTGCTTACATTATAAAACAAAGCCTCCTTAGAATGTTTCCCAAATTGTTTGTATAGGGTCTCCTGGAAAATACCCATCCGTGCGGACATCAGAAGTGCAAACGTCAGTGCCCCAATCCCTGAAAACACAAAAACCAGGTGATAAGATACTGGATTTGCTCATTTCCACACATTTTCCTAAAGAACACTGACTGTTCTACATTTATTACAAGCCAGCTGTAGAACATGTACAAAATTTTTTAAAGAAGTAAAAATCAATCACATTACCACTACCCACTCCTTGATAGTTTGCTCTCTCTATATATTTATGTATATATTTTATGCTAACACGGGATCATAATGAATATACAAATGTACATCTTGCTTTCTTCACAATCCTTTTTTTGGATTTTTTTTTTTGGATTTTCCTTCAAGTCATTCATTAGAATTTCTTCCAAGGTATGAACCCACGGCTCCATGACTTTATCACGTGGAGGGACCATAGTAAAGGTCTTACAACATAAGAATGATTAGATTACTTCCAATTATTTCACCATTGAAATCAATGTATATCCTTGTACATAAATCTTTAAACGAAATGTTGATGATTTCCTTAGGGTAAACTTTCCTAAACGAAATTACAGTCAGAAGTTGCAGACATTTTTAAAACAGTACATAAATTTTTCTAGAAAGGCCGTGTCAATTTCTACCATAAACAGTTTATACAAAAATGGTTGTCCTACTGCACCCCCTACAGCAATGAGGATAATTGTTTACTGTCTTGCCATTTTAATAGGCCAAAAATAAAAAGGTACTGCATTTTGGTTTCAATTTGCATCTCTCTAAGAGTACTGAGGCTGAACATACAGTAATTAGATATTAATTTTTCCCCATGAATTGTAGGTTTATATCCTCTGGAAATTTTTCTTATTGGATAAAGTGTTTTCTAACAGTTCACGATGATTTTTTTTTTGTAAAGAAGAGCGACCTTAAAGGGATAAATTTTCGAAGCCAAGCAACAGGGAGATTCTAGTTCTTTAGTTGCTATTTCTCTTCGGCTCTCACCCTGTTACTGCTGTCATGGACTGCACTTGGAAAGAGTTTCACCTCCGTATCTGACAACACAAGGCCAGAGCTCTATAGGAGTGATCTAATGAGTTCCACAAAGAGATACTCATATTTTTAAAAATTCCCTAGGAGACTCTGATGATCAGTCGGGTCTGGGAACACTCATTACGGAAGAGCTAACTTATGAAGAAAATGAATCTAAGATTTAGAAATGAGTCCCTTGGAAATTGACTGCTTCTACTCAGGAGACAGACCAAGAAGAAACAGAGGACACTCTACTCACTGGCTCAGAGAGCGTGACAGGCAAACGGATGTGCGCTTTTCGATCCATACCACTGGCAGCCACGGAAATCGTGGAACCATGTTGTAGAATACATTACCCTGAATGCGGACATTTTCTCTTTTCATGTTCTGAACACCGAAGTTCAGAGATAGGTGATCCCAGGTGCCTCTCTCTTCTGTGGCATAATCTGTTTAGCCAAAGCTTCTTGCCAAGAAACCTGCCCCTTGGGAGAAAACTCAGCAAACAGAACTTCAGAGGCAATTAGCTTTATTGTAATCACTGTACTTGCCTAGCAGCCACCTTAAAAATGCCTGGAATCCATCATTCTCACTCGAGCTGGACTGGGAAGTCTAGGAAAGACAGGAAAATACCAGGTAGAGAGACCAGAACTACATGCAAGGTGGCCGGGTATGAAGGAACGATCTGTGTTACCCACTCCCCCCCACTTCTCTCGCAGAGACCCAAATCCTTCCATGGCATAGGCATGTCAATGTACTGCGTCCATAAAACACCCCGAGGCCCCCATGGCAAGCAGGGAAGAGAAATGATTTGTGAAGCGATTCTTACCACCTGCTTTGCGGACATGAAAGTGCAGATAAATATCCCCACAGACACCAGGGCAATGGAGGTATATTTGAAAATGCTGTATCTGCGAAAACAAGAACGAGAACACCTCAGGAGAAGACAAGCACAGATACGAACTTCCACGCGATGCTCCCAGTCAGATGCTGTGTGAGAGCACCCGTCAGCGGAATCCAGCGGACGGGCTCGCACACACGGAAGTCTGGGCATGAACGAAGCAGGATGCTGACTGGTGACTAAACTCCCTTTCCTGGTGTGGCTTAAAATAGTTTGTTAGTTTGTGGACCGAGAGGTTTCGTCAGAACACAAAAACAAAAAAAGACATAGGCAGACATGCTCTGCCATCCTGCTCGGGTCCCAGGGAAAGCCGGACACATCTGAACTGCCACCTGTGGCGCTTTCGGTCTTCAGGGACCCAAACCCAAGCGTCAGAGACACACCACACAAGAGGAAGAACGGATCATAAGGGACAAGTAGCAGGATTCAGTGGCGGGGGAAAAATCATTCAACTGGCCATTGTCAGGAGAGGATTTTTTTTTTAACACCTCTGACTGACTTAAATGTTTTTAAACATCAGCACAGTTGGATAAAGGAAGAAATATTACACTAATAGGACTACTGGCAGTAAGAACAGTGGCATTTCATATTAACTAAAACAACATCATTAATATCCCTCTTGAGCTCATACTGATAAAGCGGAAGGACTCAGGCAAGGACAAAAAGGAATTAAATTTACAGGATGAACCAGTCAAGGTTTTCTAGTTAAATACTTTGTACAGCTCTGGTCACATCACCTCGTAGCAGGCCAGCAGGCCTGGCTAAGCAGCAGATCGGGGGCCAAGAGCAACCTGCTGGTGGAGAGAGGGAGGATGAAGTAAGAGGCCCTGAGGAGGCAGATGGAAAAGTAAGGGCACTCTGGAGTCTGGAAAGATCAAGACAGGGAGAGGTTTGTAATACAGGCCTAAAAATTAACAAAGGGCAGGATGAGGTAAGTAGTGACTTGGTCTTCAAATCCCGGAATGAGGAACACACTGTGAACCTAAGGGGCTCTACTCAAAATACACAAAAGGAGATAATAACTTACAAATTCCTGATATTAGATGGTTACCTAAGGGAAATTCCTGCTCTCTGGGTGATACACAGCAAGGAGAGTCAACAGGGCTTACTTGGACAGATGCAAGAGGACAGACCCAACACAAGTTCTCCAGGGCAACGGAGATGATTAAGAAAGGCCCCTGACATTTCAGAGCACTCTCAGGAGAACACATTCCTTTTAGAATATGTTCTTTTGGGGCGCCTGGGTGGCTCAGTGGGTTAAAGCCTCTGCCATAGGCTCAGGTCATGATCCCAGGATCCTGGGATCGAGCCCCACATTGGGCTCTCTGCATAGCAGGGGGCCTGCTTCCTCCACTCTCTCTGCCTGCCTCTCTGCCTACCTGTGATCTTTGTCTGTCAAATAAATAAATAAAATCTTAAAAAAAAAAAAAAAGAATATGTTTTTAGCCCTATTACGAGCAAAATCAACAGTTGGAAGGCCTGTGGGTCTGCCCCGACAAGTCTACACTACCAAGAAGGGTAGTGGTCACTTCAATGTAATAAACCCATTACATATGAACACTTATGTGGAGACCAGGAAAAGAAGTCAGCTGCAGTCGTACTCATCTGGGGACTAAGACTCCAAAGATAAAGGGTTCATGATAAGGAGCCTAGCAGGACAGGACAACTGTCCTTACCACACAGCTCTTATTACTTAAATACTCTAGGTTGCCACACTTAACTGGCAGCACTTTCTAAGCTGGTAGAGACTTCTAACCCTGGGGCTAGCTACTGAAAACAGAGAAAAGCTGGCCGAGCTTGTACAATTGTGATCTTCACGGTGAGGGTGACCTTCCCCTGAGAAATGTTCCAGACTGAATGTGCTGACTCTCCCCAATGCCCTTCCTTCTTGGGAGTAAGGGGTAAGACTCAGAACGAAGGTGAAAGACAAATATTTTGAGAAAGTATCCCAGGTGTTTCTGAGATTTCCCAGTCATATCCCAGAGAGAGGCACTGGTGACAGCCACATAGAACAGTCCTGAAAGTTTCTGTCCCATCTTCTTGGCTATTTCGGTCTTTGTTAGGAATTTTCTCTCTAACATGGTTGTCGTTAGTTCATCATGTTGTACTGATAAACACCTTCTATGAGAGTGCTGTCCAAGAACTTCCACGAGGCTGAAAATGTTCCCTATCTGGGTTCTCCAACATGGTCGCCAGTAGCCACGTGTGGCTACTGAGCACTTGAAATGTGAGAAACGAAATATTTATTTAATTTTAAGTAACTGAAATTTTTTTTTTAAATTTATTTAATAGACGGAGATCACAAGCAGGCAGAGAGGCAGGCAGAGAGAGAGGAGGAAGCAGGCTCCCTACTGAGCAGAGAGCCTGATGCGGGGCTTGATCCCAGGACCCTGGGATCATGACCCGAGCCGAAGGCAGAGGCTTTAACCCACTGAGCCACCCAGGCGCCCCACGTAACTGAAATTTAAATGTCAAGAGTCCCACGGAGTTAGTGGAGACCACATGAGACAGTAAAATTCTAGAACAGCTGGCTTTGGAGGTTATCACGGTACTAAAGATGCAGTGATGACAAGAGCTATTCTGTTCTACGCAGAGGAAATGTTCCAAAGCCACAGGTGGGGCCCCTTACCTGGTCCACGGCCTTGGGATGCACAGCACCGGCACAGAGAAAACCAAGAAACAAGCCAGGTGATCGAGAGCAAACTTATCAGCACTACGAGGAAAGGAATCCAGCCTAGGGATGGGGCTCAGGATATCCTTCCTATACACAAAATATGAAAGTGTATTATTTACCTTTTCTTCAAAATGATAATTCCTAGGATCATGTTGGCAATGAGAGAACCCTGTAAAAGGAGAAAACAGAAAGTTTCAGTGCGCCAGGGAAAGAAAATAACTCGAGATAAGTAAGAACATGGACAAGCAGGAAAAAGCCAGAAAGGAAGTGGTTAGATTGATTAATTAGTAAGGTCCACTTGTTCTTATAATGGCAACAAGTATAAAGCATACAAATTTGTTATGTAAATTAATAACACCTTCTGAAGATAACAATGAGAATAAAAATGACCAATTCTCTAAATATTGGTCAGAGCTGAAACTAAGGCTACCAGAAATAAATTATATTGTAGACTTAATTTTGTTACATTTTCCCATCCATTTGTGAGAGCTTTTGCTAAGCTTCTCCTCTCCCCTGGTTTTAATTAATGAAAGAAGGCGTGCAGGGATCGTTCTCTTCTCTGGAAAGCTGTCATTCAATCAGCAAGACTTTATTGAAAGTCTATTATGTGCTCCGTACTTTAAAAGTCACTTTTGTAATTATAATTAGCTCTAAAAAGTCCCTTTGAGGATAGTATCTTTAATCTTCCAGAAATCTCAGATGACACAGAAACGTTATAATTCCAATGGTCACCAATTCAGCATTCTTTTGCAATCCTAACTACATTCCCCTTGAAGTCTTTCCTGCTCTGCAGGGAGCACTCCGTTCTTATTTACTTACATACAAACTACATGCAGATCTCCCACCAAAAATGAGAGGAAGAAAAAAACCTCTGCTGCTCTGGGAGAAACCCTATCTTCATCAAGAATTTCCCTTTACTGGGGCGCCTTGGTGGCTCAGTCAGTTAAGTGTCTGCCTTCAGCTCAGGTCATGATCTCAGGGTTCTGGGATCGAGCTCCACATCAGGCTCCCTGCTCAGCGGGGAGTCTGTTTCCCCCTCTGCTTCTGGCTGCTCCCTCCCACCCCCACGCTCTGTCTCTTGCTCTCAAATAAATAAATAAAAATCATTATGAATTTCTTTTTATTTAGAGCACCTGGATGGCTCAGTTGGTTAAGCGTCCCACTCTTGGTTGGGGCCCAGGTGATGATCTCAGGGTCATGAGATCAAGCCCTGCATCAGGCTCCACACTCAGCAAGGAATCTCCCTGAGATTCTCCCCCTCTGCCCCTCACTGCACCCGTACATGCGCACACTCTCTCTAAAGTAAGCAAATATTTAAAAAAAAATAAGAATTTCCCTTTACTTAATGGTCTCAGAAGTCTCTTGCTTAAAAAAAAGGGAAGTATCAATTTTATGTACTAGAAGTAAACAATTTTATGAAAGAAACCAAAAAGGGATGAGAAATAAGTTAAATAACATTCATAGCAAGTCTGAAAACAAAATCAATCAGATGAAGGAAATTAAACATGAAATCTGTTATCCAGGGAGATTTCAGCTCCTTTTATTGATCACCCAGAAGACCTCAGAGGGATGAAAGTCAACTGTCCCCTCTCGGCCTTACTGTGCAGATGAAAGCCAGCCTGCCTTTGCTCCCGCATCCAGGAGATCTTTCTTAGACACTGGACTCTACTTGTTGTAAGACCTTCCTACTTCTGTCAAGTGTTCGATCGACCCACTTAGGTTTCCCAGAGGCACATACACCCGTCAGCGGGCAGCACTTACAGATCTAAATATCATATGCAGGGGCATGGCGATGTTGAGATTCAAGGCATAGTTGTTCACCACGCTGACCGTGAAGAACATGGTCACCATCACAGCATAGTACCTGAAGTGCAGAGATCACAGCACATCACACAAAATCTACTACTTCAAGAAAATCAAGTATAGAAGGAAATCGTTATGTTTGGTTAGAAAAGTATTTTGTTTTAGTCCCTCTAGATTAAAAGATTATATCGCTACGATAATGTGAAGTCAGTACTAAGTACATAAAAAAATACATCCAAAACCAGACTAACAAGGAAAAAGTCTGAATGGCAGGCTATGTTTCAAGAAACACTATTTTAATCTTTTGAGTATACTCAAGATATTTTTCAAGCAATTTGAAACTAGGCTTCAAAAAACATTATCTGAGGGGTGACTGGGTGTCTCAGTCGGTTAAGCGTCTGCTTTCAGCTCAGGTCACAATCCTGGGATCCAGGTATCGAGCCCAGCATTAGGCTCCCTGCTCAGTGGGAAGCCTGCTTCTCCCTCTCCCTCTGCCTCTCCTTCTGCTTGTGTACTTGCGCGTGCTCTAATAAATAAATAAATCTTTTTAAAAAAACAACAAAAAAGCAAAAACAAAAAATGTTGTTTGATAGACATCAATAGGTTTTTCAGTGAATGGATAATATTCATTATCATTATCATTTCTTTGTATGTAATGGTTAATTCTCCCAACCATTTCCTCTATATACTTGTTTCTACTGTTAATTTTCACAATTCCTTTCTAAAGAAAAGATGTGCTAAATTAAGGGTGACTTTCAATCTAGCAACTGCTGAAATTATCTCACATTCCGAACTGGTGGCCTCCAAATTAATGAGGATATTATCTGACTGTTAAGGAGTTGTATTTAAAATCAGGGCCCCTGTTTTTGACAGTTTATAGGTCCTTAATAATAAAAGCAAAAACCAAAAGCCAAAATTCAGTAACCCTAATAACTTAGGGGAAGGGATAAATATAAATGAACAATTATGAATAAATAATTAAATAATTTTGGATTTGTATGCCCCATTTTTATCTAGAAGATATTAAAATGCCTTTCGTGTATATCAGATTAAACCCTATAAAACTGCTACTTTTTTGGAGGTCGAAAGAGTTGAAAAGCAGCAATTTCCTATGATTCAATCGAATACATTCAAAAAGAGAAAAAATATCTGAAATAAATGGCTAGAGAATGCAGGGCAAAGGAAAATTAGTTCCGTATCCTTCAGGAAATGGTGAAGGTCTTTGAGCACAGATCACCCCCAGCTTTTTCATCTTGGCACATCAGAAGAATGACAGCACTGAGAGTCCAGTCATCTTCCTTGACAAGAACCTACCTGATGTTGCTGGTAGATATGGACCTACGAGCCCTAAACATCAACCATGCTGGGGTGAAATTAACAGTCTATCAAGTTTGAGAAGCTTCACAATGAACTCAGGACAGAGTATTACACACACACAAAATTACTGGTGTTCCGAAGAAAACCACAAGTCCAAAATGGTGCCACTTAGGTTACAGACCCAAGTCCGCAAACCAAGACTTAATTCCTAACCCAACTGCAGTTACAACCTATACCCCCCTCCCCCTGCCATGCCAGGAATGCAACCTTTTACCAGTCAACAAAGAATTTCCTGGTCAGTACTAGGCAACTTACTGATAGAGTGGGATATTTGTTTTAAATGGCAAGCAGAAGCCTCCAAAAGGTTCAAAATTCCAAAACAGTCTCACTAAAAGACTCACTGTAAACAGCTAATGAAAATGAGCAAAGGTACCTAAAACAAGACTGTAGAACTGACGTAACGGCTACTATTCCCCTCTGTCCTCCGTATTCATCCTAGTCAGCCTCCCATGGACTGCCTTTCACTCCAAAAAGACCATCACACAGTTGCTTGTAGAAGAAGAACAGTTGAGGCTACAGCCAATACGCTTCACTCCTTGGCTCAAGGCCAAACTAAAGTCCGTAGGTGAATAATTTCCTAAACCTAGGGAGAATCCTCAAGAGTTTGTAACTACATTACTTCCTGAGCCCAGCTGAGCAAGGAAAATAAAAATTCACATCGTCCCCTCCTTTACAAATAATGAAGGACAGTCGGAAGAAAGGTAGACAGAGACAAGGCCCACCCCTCACCCCCACCCCTGCCCTAATAGGAAACTACTTCGAAAGGATTATACGCCACCCCTTCCCATGTGAACTACCGGATAGGCAGATGAGCGTATGGACAAAAACCTGATTGGGTAACAGGCACATGCATGGAGGGTTAATCAGATTAACCCTTACCAATCCCCCAATCTCCCCTATCTCAAAATTTAAGTGTAAAAATTCTGACTTTAAGGAAACAAGAATCCTTCTAGGAGAAGCTTGCATTCTTTCCCTGCATCTTTAAGATGTAAATGGTCAAGATTCTACTAGTCTTCTCTAGGAAATCCTTTCTAGTCCATCTCCTTAAAATATAAATTTTAGAGTGGTCATTCTTATCAAGAAAAACACAAGGGGGAGAGGTCATTTGGAACTTGATCTGCCAGGAGAAATTCAAATCTTAAGTGTCTTCACAAATACTAAAAGAACTTTGACCACCTAGATTGATAACCTTATTCCATATCTACCAGAAAAACAACAGAGATCTAACTTTTACAACTAGTAAATTCTGTATGTACTTCAGTGCAGCAATTTAAAATAGAAAGCCGTAGGGGCTCTCTGTCTGTATGTTCATGTGTGTCTATATTTATGTGTTGTCGCTCTGTGGTATTTTCTACTTCTGGGTGGTATTGCTACAATTAATTTGTACAAGAGCTCTATTTAGTTGGTTTTAAGGCAACCACCTGTAAGGATTGGACATTCTAAAACTTTCTGAAAAAAAAACTAACCCAAATATTTTTCAAGGTCACATGGTTTGGAAAAAATATTTGATATTTTAAGGCTGATGGCTTAATTAAAAAGACAGGTCTCTGGGGTTACCAACACTAAATAGAAAACTTTTATTCTACTTCAGTTTACTAGCCCCCAAATAAGTTCGTGTTGTCCTTTACAAGATCTGTCAACAAAAATTAATAGCTTAGGATAATGGCTGACTTTGTCTAATGTTTAGTACTGTTTTCATATGTCACCTAAACGTAGTTATTAAGGACAAGTAAATTAGATATAAATAAAAGTTTGTAAATGAACTTTTCAACAATATTACATCTAAATAGATTTCCCCATTTTTTTATAACCTAAAAACCTTGAAGTTTTGCTGAATTAGGTTAAATGATGAATCAAGTTAAATTCATTAAATATCTAAATCATTTCTAGAAGTAGGAGGACCCTAGGCTCACCTCATACTAGATAACTATCAAATCAACCTAAATACCCCAGAAATTGACCTGAAGACTAGCAGAACAAACTCCATAACTAAAGGCAGAGAAGGTCCACATGGAAGAAGGTACTAAGTGTGAATATGGTTTGGGAGAGAAAGGACTCGAGGAGCTGCTGTTGCAGAGAAGGACAAGAGACAGACTAACACATGTGGGAGCCACGAAGAAAACAAATCCCCATAGCAACTGGCTTGGAAAGTGAGAGGGGCTTTCTTGTGAGTTCTTGTGGGGCTTAAAGCCTGGAGTTCTGAAGGTCAGTGGGTTTGGTTCAGATAAAGCCCCAAGGCACTGGGGCTGCTCTTGGAGGAAAGGGAGGGCAGACAGTCCAGGACACAGAACATGGAAACAGGGATTTGGAGAGGGCTTGGGGCACACCGTGAAGAGGTTAGTTGCTCCTCTCTGACCTATTCCAGAGAGGCAGCTCACAGAGAGACCCCTCTGGGAACAATAAAGGAACTGGCAGAGCCATTTCCCTCCCCTACTCCTTAGTATAAACACAAAACCACCTCCGGGAACTAGCCCAGCACTGACACTTTCAACCTAAAGTGCTTACACTGCTGGAACCACCCCCCCCAGTAATGCTTACCTCAGATCCAACAAGACAGGCCCCCCTCCCCCAGAAGGCCAGCTCAAACCCCTGCCCACAGCACATCTCCTGACAGGAGTTTTGCAGGGCCTCGGCCCCAGCAGCAGTAGTGAAAGGTCTCCTTTCACAAGCAGACCAGAGCACAACTTATTAAAATGCACCACATTCAGGCCAGACACCAAACACTGACCACACAAGGCAAAGAAAAGCCTCTGTAAATGACTGGCCTGAAAGATCAAGTGGCCAGGACACGACAACAGACCACATGCTGCACACATCAGAGATACTCCCTGAAGTGGCAGGGCCTGGGTAACAGGGGACACTACACTGCACGGTACTACAGGACCTCTTCTTCATAAGGCCATTACCCTCAAGAACAGGAGATGTAGCTGACTCTCCTAATACACAGAAATACAGAGGGCGCCTGGGTGGCTCAGTGGGTTAAAGCCTCTGCCTTCGGCTCAGGTCATGATCTCAGGGTCCTGGGATCGAGCCCTGCATCAGGCTCTCTGTTCAGCAGGGAGCATGCTTTCGCCTCTCTCTCTCTCTCTGCCTGCCTCTCTGCCTACTTGTGATCTCTCTGTCCCTCTGTCAAATAAATAAAATCTTAAAAAAAAAAAGAAAGAAAGAAACAGGCATAGAGACTTAGACAAAATGAGAAGACAGAGGACTCTGTCCAAATGACAGGACAGGAAAAGCCCACGGACAGAGACCTAAGTGAAACAGATAAAAGTAACATGTCTGATAGAGAATTTAAAGTAATGATCACAAAGATACTCACTGGACTTGAGAAAAAAGTGGAAGACACGAGTGAACCCTTAACAAAGAGATAACAAATAACATAGCAGAGATAAAGGGCTCAATAAATGAAATGAGAAATATGCTTGATGCAACGAATGCAGGCTGAAAGAAGAAGAGGAATGAATTAATGACCCAGAGGATAGAGTAATGGAAAGAAATCAAGCTAAACAAAAGAGAAAAAAGAATTATGTAAAATGACAACCGACTTAGGGAACTCAGTGATTCCATCGAAAGTACTACTGTTTGCATTACAGGAGCTCCACATGGAGAAAGAAAAGAGGGCAGAAAATTTAGTTACAGAAATAATAACTGAAAAGTTCCCTAATCTGAAGAAGTTAACAGATA